TATTATTATTTTTTGGATTGACTGGTGGTAGCAAAGTATTTTTTAAATATTCTTGGTTAAAGAAATTTGAATAATTTACATACAATGAGAAAACACACAGCAATACAAGAATTAGCCCTATAGATTTAAGATGTGTTCTGTGAAAATCATTTATCATTTCATAAGCTTGAAATTGAAATTATTTTCAGTTGGTTATAAAGTTAATGTTGCATTTAACCAGGAATATTTTGACCTTTCATAAGCAAGTATGGTAGTAAATGATTTTCCTCAGTTACTGCCTTTCAGTAGTTTACTTGTACAGAAAAACATATTAAAGTTCTCTAAAGAGCTTCTCTTGAACTCTCTTATTAAAATAACATTGTTACACTGAGACCACCCAATAATCAGATTTTATTTGAATTCATTCTTTTCTGCCACAGGTGGTGAGCTCAACTAATGGTGAACTGAATGCAGACGACCCGCTGGCGGCCCACTCAAACGCACCAATCACAGCGCAGGCAGAAGTGGAGGTGGTGGATGAGGCCAAGTATGTGCACATGGCTTCTCACAGGTTTCTGTTGTCTATGCCTTGTGTCTTAACTGACACAAGCTGTCCTTTAGCACTCTGGGTCTTTACATGATTTCACCCCTGCCCTCTCTGATCCATTCCCATCTGCTCCCCTGTAGTGCTCTGTGTACCCAAAATGCTTAATGGAACATTATACTGGATAAAATTAGCCATTTCTTATTTGCAAATTTTTTTTTTTTTTTTTTTTAAATAGGCACTTGTTTAGTTTTGAATGAAATATGAATGCTACCATTCAAAAGTTTGGAATAATTTTGATTGTTTTTTTTATGTTTTTGAAAGGAGTCCATTACACTCACCAAGGCTGCATTTATTTAATAAAAAATACAGTAAAAACAATAATATTGTGAAATATTATTACTGTTCTCAAATTATTTTTGTTTTTAATATTATTTATTTATTTTCTGTTGCAAAGCTAAATTTTCAGCAGCCATTACTCCAGTCTTCAGCTTTGCCATTACTGGAATAAAATACATTTTAATATATATTCAAGTAGAAAACCGTTCTTGTAATATTACATGTTAATATTTTTTTATACTGTATTTCTGATCAAATAAATACAGCCTCTGTGTGAATAAGAGACTTATTTCAAAAACATAAAAGATCTTTATAATTGCAAACTTTTGACTGGTAGTTTATATTTTTAAAGACAGTATTTTGAAAGACAACTGTTATACTCTGTAGTTTCCTATTCTTCTAAAGCACCTGATGTGCATTTGAGTTTGTCATATAAAACGTCCTGTCTGATATAATTTTAAACACTTATTCTTGTAGTTCTTTGATATCTTAAAAAGCCCTCTTGTCTTTGATTTATTGATGCACAGACTTGAAAGTGGCACAGACAGCAGCTGCCTTTATCAGTTAACAGGATTGCACAAACACACAAGGTTATTACACAGTATTAATGCTGACCAGAGGTCTTTCTTCTAATCTCTCTGATCTCTTTCTTCTTTGCATTTCCTTGTTTCTTGAATATAGCAACCTGTTGATTGCTTTAGCATTGTTACGTATCCTTATTTAAAGATTCAGCCTGTAATGATAGAACACCTGCACTTGAGCTATAGTAGCAGCTTCTACTTTACATAACATTACATTAAAAGGAAAGTCCATCCAATAACGAGAATCGTCATCAGGGCTTCACACTATTAGTGTTTGGCATCTGTTTTATGCCCCATGCTTAGCTCATGACTGTGTCTTCCAACTAGATGCCAAGTCATGGATTGTTTGTGGATTTTGTTTATTTAATGCTTTTTTAATTAGTTACATCCTACAGTAAATGTCTTTCATGAGCATAGGTACAAACATTCTTATTCCATTTTCTAAGAAAGAACACAAGCATTAAAATAATTTTACTGAGATGAAAAAAAATGGCAATGTCACTTTTCCGGTGAGATGCATTCAGTTGGTTATATAGTTTTTAAAAAAAAATCTTTAAACCACAAATATGGTGTTCAAAAACATGTCTCTAAACCCTGTGAGCTTTAAAATATTAAATGTTATTGGAGTTGAATAACCAAGAATGTAAGAACACTTTTACTATCTACTATCTCATTTCTATATCTCATGTACATATGCTATCATTACTGAGTGACACAGTTAAATTATAAATGTGTTATAAACATAGCTTTGGTTTATAATTCTGATTGAAGGAGCTGCATTTTAAGCTGTAAAACTGTCGAAACCTGTTGAATGCTGCATTAAAGGCTATTTTAAATTGTGAAGTGTTTTGCATCATCATGGTGCTATAAAACATTTTTAATTGTCAAAAGTCTTGTGCTAAAAATCAAAGCAAATTTTATTTTTATATATTTAAATGTAACCTGTTTTTTGTTGTTGTTGTTGGATTTCTCCCTATTACATGAGGTTGCTTTTTGACAACTTTTGAACAACCTACAACCTAATGAAATTTGTGAATTTTTTTTTTTTTTTTTTTAACAGTCATTTGTTTTTCGTATTCTCGGTTCATTTTTTTTTTTGTCACACAATCGTGAACCCTCTTCTTTCAACTTACAAGTATTATGTGTGCATAATAAACATGAAATGATGGTACAAAACAGTCATACCAAATGTTTTATAGTGGCAGAGACCCATTGATCAAGCTGAAGCATGTTTATGTTGTATTATATTCACTAGTAGAGCGGTGGGCTGGTGAGCTGAGGACAACACTACACTTCTTCAAACCCTTTCTGTTCCTTTTCTTATCTACCCCTTTTTCTCCCATTCTTTTTTTCTGTTGGCCATCTGTTTTAGAATTTTACAAACAGGGATACATAAAATATTTATTATGATATTACTTAATAAAAGGTGACCATGAATTGAGCAGATGTTTTAGATCTACACTATCCGCTGAGTCTGTCTCTCTCTCTCTTTCTGTCTGTTTGTGTCTTCCTGTTGGTCTTTTGTCGCCGACATTAGGTTTGTCTCATCGTCTCACCTCTGTGTAATAATCTCTGTCTTTTCTCACTCTTCTGTAGCTGCGTGAAAATGCTCAACCTGTGGTGAGTCCCTCTCTCCAGTCCACATCAAACCCAAGGGGAGTGGACCAGCCTAGACTGTGGCCATATGGATCACGCTTACACCCAAATCTACTTACATAGTTGTAGGCTAATGTAGCTGTTCATGGTCTGTGAGTTTGAAACAGAAAGAGGGAGGCCTGTTTGCTCAAAGTCTGATTTGAGAGACTGAAATGGCCTAAAGTTTAAAATTAAAGTTGAATAAAATAAAGTTGATTGGATGTACACTGAGAAGTCTTTAATAGCCCAACTTTAGCTTATTTACAGAAACCAAATGGAATGAGGATGTAGAGGTTAAATGAACATACACAGTTCCTTACAGAAGTATGCAGACTCTTAACTAAGTCTCAGATTTTATACCACAACATTAGTCACTTTATTTGATATAAATTGGTTGTCATAATCAGAATTAATTCTGTTTCATTTTTTGCAGTTTCACAGCCATGAAGTTTAGTAATAGCATGTTGCTTCACAATTTTTTCCCCCTAAAAAAATATTACATATTAATTTAATTTTAACATGTCCTTGACTCATCCTGAAATGATCTGAACAGTGTTTCAGATTATTTTGTTTATTTATTAAATTAAATTTATTTCAATATGTATTTTTAATATGGTCAATAATATTGTTAGAAGGTCATAATCTCCCAGGAAAACCAAGTATTGCTAGGTCTTACACTGTTTTTTAATAAAGCCCTAACCCTATGTATTAAATTTAGGAACTAATTTCTCGCTGTTTGGCCATTATTAAAGGGTTAGTTCACCCGAAAATAAAAATTCTGTCATTAATTGCTCACCCTTATGTCGTTCCAGACCTGTAAGACCTCCGTTCGTCTTCGAAAACACAAATTAAGATATTTTTGATGCATCCCGTGAGCTCTCTGACCCTCTGTAGACAGTAATGTAATTAACACGATCAAGGTCCAGAAACGTAGCAAGGAGATCGGTAAAATAATCCATGTGACATCAGGGGTTCAACCGCAATTTTACGAAGCTACGAGAATACTTTTTGTGCGCAAAAGAAAAAGAAAAAAGACTTTATTCAACAATTCGCCATTTTGGAGCGTATCCACTGAAAGTAAACCGCGTATGCTGTTCTGTGTCAGCTGTGTCACGCAGATGCGCTGTTTACGTAGTTTACGCTTTGATCAGAACGAAAACGGCGTATCCGCGTGACACAGCTGACACAGAACAGCATACGCTGTTTACTTTCAGTGGATACTCTCCAAAATGGCGCCAGGGTGACGCGGAAGAGACGAATTGTTGAATAAAGTCGTTTTTTTCTTTTGCGCACAAAGTATTCTCGTAGCTTCGTAAAATTACGGCTGAACCCCTGATGTCACATGGATTATTTTACCAATCTCCTTGCTACGTTTCTGGACCTTGATCGGGTAAGGATCCTTGCTGTCTATGGGAGGGTCAGAGAGCTCTCGGAATGCATCAAAAATATCTTAATTTATGTTCCGAAGATGAACAAAGGACTTACGGGTTTGGAACAACATGAGGGTGAGTAATTAATGACAGAATTTTTGGGTGAGCTATCCCTTTAATTGTTCATGACGTGATTAAAAAAAAAACAGTGTTTATAACTAAAAATAGTACAGAGAATGTAATTTCAGTGTAATATTTATTAAAAAGGTAGACTTGGTTAAGTAACTGCATGTTTTTGCAGGACACTGCATATTCAGTATGACTTCATTAACAACCGCAGTGAACCTAAATGATACAGCCAGTGATTGCCTGTTACTCACCGTCGGATTTACTGGCTATTTAGCAGTATCCATTAGAAACATGTTTAGTGAAGTCTATCACTTTTCAATGTGTCAGTCTGGAGCTGTTCTCTTCCACTGCATGTGCCTTGTTTTCCCTGACCCATTCTGTTGTGTTGTTGCTGTTTAACATTCTGTTGTTGATGCTTTTGACGAAACTTAAATGTCTTTAAGTTTCCTTTTTATTAACTTTGACCAGTTATTGTCTTTTTATATGTAGCATTTAGGTTGGTACGAATATACTAATGCATTATAGACAGCGCTGACAATATGAAGCGTAACCCACATACCTGCTTTATTTAAGATTTACAAAGGCAACTACATAGTGACGGCGCATGTGTAGCTAGAGGGCAGATGCTTCATTATTAGGTTGGAATAACAAGCTAATTGCCTGCCATCTCTAACCTTAACCTGTGTGTTCGTCCTCAGGTGCTGCTGTTTCTTCAAGAGGAAGAGGAAGAAGAACACTCAACGGCACAAATGAACCTCCGGCCTCTCCGCACAGTCCGTTCCTTTGGTTGTTTTTAGAGCGTTCAAATAAAGAAATTTTACAAGACGACAACAGCGAGCCCTCCAATTGAGTTGGGGACCGATGTACGAGGCATGCACACGTTGTCTCTCTGGGGATTGTCTTTGTTTCGTTTCGTTTGTTTTCTTCCACATCTTAATTTAGGCAGCGACGGGCCTCATCCTCAGACTGTCTCTAGGATCTTCACGCAAACCTAAGGATCTCAAAGCACTGGAACAGCACTGCACTTCCTTTGCTGTTTTGCGTCTTTTTTCGTTCCCCTCGTCCTCGGCGGTGGACGTGCTGGGGAGGAAGTCTCTGAATGTGCCCTCTCGTCCTCTTTCTCCGTGACAGGCACAGTTCTAGCCCTTTGTGTGACATAGAGGGAGGGAGAGAGACAAAGTCGCCCATGCTGGAGCTCGAACCGCAGACCTTTTCCTCCCCCGAGCACCTCCCGGCCCACTTCCACTCCACACGAGACGAGACGGTGGCTTTTTGATTTCACTTAACCCTTTTGAAATGTTTGTTTGTGTATTTGTTGGCTGATTGTTGGTTCTCATGCTGCCAGGAAGTGGTCGAAGCCTTAGAATATGACTAGCAGATTTCTTCGTCGTATCTATCGGAGTGATTTAACGTACATGGGCAAAGCGCAAAACAGATAACTGTCGTAATGACGCTAGCTGGCCTTTACATGTGAACTTTGTGAAAGTGTGACATAAACAGCTGTTTCCAGTGGTAACGATGAGCGGCGCTCGTCTAGCGCGCGTCTACGTTCCACTGACTAGTATTTAAGCTGCTTGTTCTAAAGCACTCCTCCCACTTCAACCCACCAGCCAGTCATGCTGCTTTCTCCTCTTACGATATCGTACTGCTTTGACGTACAGCTGGCTGCTTTTCTATTGGCTGAGGTGGCCAGTAAGACTTTCCTTCTGCGCTTTTGTATCTTTCGGTCCATATAGTCACTTATTATTCCCACGACCAGTTCCTAATAGATGTTGTTTTTTATGCCTGAAAACTGCTAATTCTTCAGGATGAGAATAACGTTTCATGTGCCAGAGTGGCTTGGAAAACACCTCAACTTGGTCATATGAAGTGAAAGATGCCGCAAATAATGTAATAATGGCCATTCGGCAGGCGTTTCCTTGTTTTAGTAGTTGTCGTGAGCTGGAACCTGGGAGGACGCAGACTGACGGTAGTGATTGCCACTACTGCGAAACATCTCGATTTAATGCCTTAACATTACTCGGCAGATACCACCTGCAATAGGACATTATGAAACTCCTCCCATGCCTTCATAGTGACCTGATACGCGTCTCATTCCCTTTAGGAACTTCGCTCGACAGGGTTCGAATCAAGAAAATCGAACACAAATCGGATTATGTGGCAGAAAACGCCGGAAGACCCATTGAAACGGCCTGTTCGTAAACTATATATAGTGGCCATAAGCGTATTCTGAGATGGGGCAGCCCTTGACCTCTTGCATGGATGAGGCGGTCCTTTCCTGAGCGCAATCCTTAAGGCAGGAATTACGTAAAATGGGGTTATATGCGAAACGATTAATGTAGTTCTGTTGTCGTCGTTTTTTGTCGCTAATCTCAAGTCGTGATGTTGCCTTGCTCATTTTTTGGTTTCACCGTTCACTTATTCACAGCATTAAATCCATGCTTTTATTTTGTGATCTTTCTAATGTATAGCAAATGTGAATTAATGTAAGAAAGTATATGAACTATTATTTTATTTTATTTTGATCACCGTACAAAAGTTGAGAGAGAAGCCATAGGAGTGTGTGACTGCACTAACATTTTCTTAGGCCCTTGTTTACGTCAGCCTGTGCGTTGCTGTATGCTCCTGACCTCTGAACTCGTCTTTCATAAGTAACGGAGGTAAACAAGGCTGTTTGAAGAATCTATCATGCCCATTATGTATTTTGGAAATCCCTCCTGAGGGCCTACAGATGGCATGCTTTGAATGTTCCTACAAAAGCAGTGGATAAATGAGCGTGTTGGACCAAATCGATATGGCAAATGGGCACAGATTCTTTATTAGCATGTTTCCACCTCTTAACTCATCAGTTGAATAATCCAGCCATCTGTTTCCACTCGTTTATATATGTAAATAGTAACTTGGTGAGCTCTCACTGACCCATTCCTTTTTGGATTCACCTTGTGGAACCATTTCCACCGTGTAGGAACGAAAGTTGCGTTCAAATCTCCGGTTGGCGGTTATAGAGAGGAGTCAACCAACCGTTTTCGCAAATGCGCAAAAAACGTTCCATGTATTTCTGATGTGACGGTTATTTAATAGATATTCCTTATGCTTGTCCACTGTGATGCAAGTCACTTTGGGTCTAAATTATTCTGTGAAAAGTACTTGAATAATAATTCTCTTGAAAAATTGTCTCGCACGTGCGTCGAGGCTGCATTTTATTTAATGTTCTTCTCTTAACGATATGTATTACGTGCCTCGCTAGAGTTGGAAGACGATTTAGTATTTCTGGATGTGCACTGCTTGCTGTCGCCAGGTGCGTCTGGCTCTAAGGAGTATGATTTTGCAGGATTTAACCCCTTAATTCTTGTTGACGCTCTTCCCAAATCAAAGTGGGAGGCCTTGGCTTGTTACGGAGCCGTCTGGAATTGTTTTTAGGATATAAGTGGAATGTGAAATCGTTTAGTTTTGGATTAACGGATGAGGAAGCTAGTCCTACATGCAGATGTAAAATGTACTTTGGGATTATGAGTTGGACGGTGATTAAGGCGCCATCTGCTGGATAAAAATGACTCGTCCATGTAAAACACTACACTGAAATCACACTCTTAATATGCTATTTGAAGTAGTTTGATGAGGGGTGGCTAGAACAGACGTTATTCCTTATTACTGGAATTTTGGATAATGCGATCATAATGACTACTGGCTCTCTTGTCAACTGCAAGGTGATGACTATTTCAAACCATTTTAATCTTTAATTTTCCCTTTTTTTAAGATTGTACCATATGTTTTTGTACCTTTTTTTGTAGGTTTTGTTTTAATAAAGATGGTGTTATGGCCTTCTAAGTCCATTTGACGTTTAAACACACAATAATTCCACAAAAGCGATTGATTCCCCAAAAGTCAGGTCGTTCAGGAAGCATTCTGGGTCCTTTGGAGAGGTTTTTGTGTACCATTCCATTTCCTTTGAATTGCCTTTGCTTTTGTATCACGGTTCGGGTCACTTTAATGTGCTGCAGATTTACATACAGAGAGGTGAATAGAGTTATTCTCCTAAAGTTGAAGTTAGTGACATTAATGCAGATTTTATGTGCATGGCTTTTGATTCCCGAAAGCAATGGAAACTACTTGTAAATGGGGCACTGAAGAACATTGTGGGCATGAAGTTGATACACTGTTATTCTGTGGCTGCGTAATGCCTTAAACATGCTACTGCAAGTCTGACCCCTCTGTACGCTTGAGTTCAGCAGGTAAATGTCCACTGCGTACTATTTTGACGCTGTATACTGTATTGCCCTTCCATTGTGTCTGCTACAGTCATAGCTTTTTCTCTCTCTGAAAAATGTAATCATTCCTGTCTCAAGGTTTTAGTTAATGTGGGAACTTGAGCATTTTTTTTTTTTATGAACAGTCCGATGTGGTTAACTGCTCGTTTTTAATGACCTCGGAATGATTATATTACAGGAGTCTGGTAGGAAAGCACTGCAATATTTGAATTTTCTTTTTCACGTTTTTTTTTGTTGTTGTAGTGTTTCTTTCAGTAAGGATGTTTCTGTACTTCGAAACATATTAAAAACTGAATTGTACAGTACAGCAAGAGTCATTCTCTTGTTCTGGTCATACTTACAAAGATACTTTAAATTTCATTGTATTATGAATTTATTGTGTTGAAATATGAATGTTGCTTAAATGTATTTCAATGATTTTACTTTGTCAAGGGCTTCAACTGTGATGGACCCGTTTTGTTTTCTCCTTCTCTCTCTCTCTCTCTCTAAATATATTTTGTTTTTAAGTTGCAGAAAGATTAAGGTCTTAATCTTAATCTTATTTAAAATGCCTATTTTCCTGAGGAGTCATATCAAATTCCATACATAACCTTTCAAAATAAATTTTTATTCCCTCCACTCTTAAAGGGAAACTCAAGTTTGCACCCTTTTTTATGTAAAATAAAAGAAAATGTCTCTTAACCATTGAGTGAGAGGGTGTCTGTCTTTTTAAGAGGGAATTTGTGTCCTAAAACCTTTTATGGCCTGAAAATTTGTGGGTTATGTGTTCAGTCTGTTTATTAATAGATATTCCTTATGAACTCGTAACACATACATAATACACATGAAATTGAATGTTTCATAATGACAAAAGTTCAGGAGCATAGTTTCAGAGAGAGGTATCTGAAAGGCAATTACATTCAACATTTTTTAAACTTGAAAACATGTCACAATATAGCAACAGTTACCAATGCAGTTAGACTGAAATATTCCACTCAGTTTTAGGCTCTTGTGATGCTAAAGTTTACAGTGTTGTTCTTAGGCTGACGAATTATTAAAGAACAACATAACAATGTAATAAAAAAAGTATGTTTACACACACGTTTACATAGCGATTTAAATGGGGATGTTCCATAGACTTCTGTTTTTATATTGAGCTAATTATAAATAGTAAATACTACAACTTAA